CACTCATGCTACTACTACTGCTACTGCTGCTACTACTACTACTAGCACCATTTCAGCTGTATGAAATACTACCCAGGAAAGAGAGTTTTCAACTATGTTTTCACCGTAAAAGAAGCCGCGTTTCCTAGCAACAGATAATCTACTTCCTGTGGCCACATATGACGAACACCACGAGTTCTGCAGTGCCATGTTGGTATGTTATTCGTACAAGTACCCGCGACACAGGATCAGTCGACTGTGCAAACGGAGTCCCGTTATGCCTGTGTTCCTCACTGACGTCACAGTCGTCTGTCTGTGCCCCCGTATACCGCTAACACCACGCCACAATCTTAACAAAGGCAACCAACCCTTTTCATACATGTTGTAAAACTACATGCTGCGGGGCCATCTCTCGTCCCATCACGTCTTCAACCTGTTTTACTTGATTAGCTTTGTTGATATTCAATATAATGTACACTAATCACATCAACCCTCTATATTTGTGGGCAGCGAACCATGCAATCCCCAGTCTCGCCAATACAGACCTGCACAGAGTAACTGGCGTATTCAGAGATGTGCCACACAAATCCATCTTCTTAACTAACAGGTCGGCCTAAGCTGTGATAACAGGACGTCTTTATCGTTCGTATTTCATGCATAATCAGTATGTTCGTTGTGGCGACTTCGCGACGTCTCTCTACATGCATTTATTAAGAATGGTAAAAGCAATTAAGGAGGAATGTGTTAGTATTTTTTATTCTTTTAATGTAACGACTTCTCATCGAGAAAAATTATGAATTGTGATATCGGGGAAATTTAGTTGGCAGGCCAGCAGTACCAAAACACCTCCAATCATTCAGTATGGTATGTATACGGTATATCTCCTTCATTTGTCCTGTTTATTATAGGGAGCACGGGGAATCGAACCCGGGTCTTCGGCGTGGCGAGCGAACGCTTTAACCACGAGGCTACCCCCACCGTCCCTATATCATAATAAAAGTGGAGATGTACTACATTGGATGATTTAGTTTGAAATGATTTAGTTTAAGCATTCATATTTAGGCTGATTCTTAGAGTCGGACTGCGCTGAGAAACACAGTATACTGACTTCGAGCCAACCAAGCCTTGTGCTTTCCCCTTAATGCCGCGCACCAGGCAGGGTAACAACAAGTACCATCCGTTAACATCTTCTGGTATGACACGGCCGGGGATAGAACCGCCGACCTTCCGCACTCTGGGTAGGCGCTCTAACCACTACACGACCAAGGCGGTGAAGATGCAGCGGGATCCTGTTCTTCACAGGGAGAAAGTATAGTGACACCGCAACCTGACGGGGCTAGAGGTCATGATCCCGGGGACGCGACTGGGGGACACTGACCTAGGTCTCCAGAAAGTATATATGGCACTGTTAGATTGTGTCCTTGTTACATCGCAGAGTGAGTGAGTATGGTTTTGCGCCGCTTTAAGCAATATTCCAGCAATAACGTGGTGGGGGAGATCGGAGAATGGACTTCACACGTTATACCTTTGAAGGGAATCGAACCCGAGTCAAAACTAACCACCAGGCTACCCCACCACACACAGATATTGAGAAATAGTTTCCTCGACAAAAGAGTTGTCGTTATTAGGTTTTTAAGTCAGAGTCGACAGCTATTGATAAATATATTATCAAAAATCAGAATCTGAGTTAAGATCTGAAAATGTAAAGAAAAGTATACTTCCTTTTCCGTTTCTAACAAAAAAATGTTGTCAACGAACAAAAAACAACGTGCGTATGTATGGTATTGAGAGTAACACCTGTGTTGAATAAATTGGTGCACATATCTTTTGAATAGGTAAAAAATATCAAATTCAAAACATGTTAAGCGCATTAATTTGTTTATCTGAAAACGTTCAAAGCAGAAGAAAAAAAACATTTCCCTTTTTATAAAAATACATATTAGTTCACAACATCAACACTGTCACATGCCGACAGTATTTTACGGTGGTTGTACCGACTCATGACGTCCACAGTCAAGTATATACATCACTACGATTAGATAACATGTGACATCGGTGCAACGCGCCACTGAACTTAAGATGTGTCGACCACAGTGGACTTCTGCTCGATCAGGGCTGGAATTTACGCTGAAAAGGCCCTACTCTGTATGCTATGACATCCACTTGGTGCTTTGCCTGTGCACCTCGTTGCCTCAAAGACCAAGTGAGTTGGGCACCACGAGAGATAAAATGTCGATATAAAGAAGACGTGTAGGGTCAACGCAAGACGGGCATGTGCCAGGTGTGTACAAGCACTCCTCAACCTGATACATGACGTATACATGTATCATGACATATCAACAAGTTATGGAATTTGGGCTAAGCCTAACATAACGGTTAAAACATAAACCTTAACAGAGCCATAATGTACGTTTTCTGGATTTTTGTAACTTAACGGAACATGCATTAAAAATAACAACAAAAATGATATCACTTACGAAAGAAGAAGCGATGGAAATTAGTTATGTTCAAAACTACGACAATGGTGGTGATGAATGTGACGACAGCGGCGATGATGACACTGGAGACGTAAATGATGTCATTTACAATAACCGTGCAACGACGACGGCGATAACAGTAACGATGACGGTAATGTTTGTTGTGACGACAACGGTGATGGAAGTGGCGACGGTATTAATGATAATGACGGCGATGGTTATGATGACGGTGAAGGTGGCGATGACGAGAAGACGTATGTGTTGATAACAGTGAAGACAACTAGTGGCAGTGACGACGGCGGTGATGAAAGTGATGATGGTACTGATGATAATGACGACGATGGGGATAGTCAGTCACACTGGCGATGCAAATGATGGCATCGACGACAACGTGCAAGTATCGTCACGAAGACAAGAACGACGACGGAGAGGATGAGAGTGATGATGATGGTAATGATTGCAGTGACAATGACGGTGATGACAGTGACGACGGTATTCATGACAAACACGAGGATAGCAATGACGGTGACGACGACGGCGATGATAACAGTAAGGACGACAGTGATAATGACATGAATGATGACAGTAGAGACGACAGTGATGCGACAGTGACGACAATGGTGATGATGACAGTGACGACAATGGGGATGATGACAGTGACGACAATAGTGATGATCACAGTGACGACAATAGTGATGATGACAGTTTGACGACAATGGGGATGATGACAGTGACGACAATAGTGATGATCACAGTGACGACAATGGTGATGATGACAGTGACGACGACAGTGATGGTGACAGTGACGACAATGGGGATGATGACAGTGACGACAATAGTGATGATCACAGTGACGACAATAGTGATGATGACAGTTTGACGACAATGGGGATGATGACAGTGACGACAATAGTGATGATCACAGTGACGACAATGGTGATGATGACAGTGACGACGACAGTGATGGTGACAGTGACGACAATGGGGATGATGACAGTGACGACAATAGTGATGATCACAGTGACGACAATAGTGATGATGACAGTGACGTCAATGGTGATGATGACAGTTTGACGACAATAGTGATGATTACAGTGACGACAATAGTGATGATGACAGTGACGTCAGTGGTGATAATGACAGTTATAACAATAACGAGGGCGATGGTGACAACAACGACGACACTGATGGCCACGGTTTTGATGACAATGACGACGACAATCTTCCAGGAGGAAAGAAGACATTGAAAGAATGATAAAAGTGGACGCGTTTGGAAGCTGATGTAGAAATTGATATAGCCGTAGATGTTTGGAGTTATGTTTCACACATGCAAGCTGAACTCCGGTTGTGTGTTGTTATAACCCTCACTGAGCGCCCACGTGTCGAGGTGAGGGTCGTCACGTGGGATGTCAATTGCAACCCATCCACTGTCATGATGTTTAACTTCACATTTCCGTTGGAAACTTGTGATTGACATGTCTATACAAGCATCGTCCAGAAAGTATGAACATGGTTTTAGAAAAATATGGAAATTTAAAGGTAATTTCTTTCTCGTTTTAATTCGAGCCACTACACGGGTTTATGTATGTAATACTTCAATGAACAGGACTTAATAATTTAGCTGTACAAGTATTTATATGTAATGTATCACGGTGTTACTATTCAACATTATTTTGTTTTAAATTCGTTTTACTGGATTTTTAAATACTCTCCCACAGTGCTATGTATCGACAGCTGTAAAAGCTACGACCATGACTGCTTTGTGGAACAAACTGTGGTTCTCTGGTTTGGTTATAAGATGAGTGAGTGAGTGAGTGAGTGAGTGAGTGAGTTGGGTTTAACGCCGCTTTTAACAGTATTCCCGTCATATCACGGCGTGTCAGCTTAATGTGGGAGGAAAACCCGAAGTGATGCAGGTCTGAAACGTTTACCACTTCGGTGAAACCCACGAGCACGGGTATGGTGCTGACAAACCTAGAAACATAATAATTGGGGACCGGGATCGAACCCACAATCATAGGTTTCTAGTGTGCCCAAGGGACGCCACTCCGCACAGCGAATCTCGGCGCCTTAGACATTGATAAATGAATTATACATACATTATGAATTATATAAACTTTATATATACATTGCAAAGGTACAGTTTGATGTATTTTTTGCATGCATATTAATTGTTACATCTGTAACTACACCTAATTAAGTATATCGCTGTATTTACACCTGATTGAGTATACTATTGTATTTTACACCTGATTGAGTATACCGCTGTATTTTACACCTGATTTGGTATACCGCTGTATTTTACACCTGATTGAGTATACCGCTGTATTTTACACCTGATTGAGTATACCGCTGTATTTTACACCTGATTGAGGATACCGCTGTATTTTACACCTGATTGAGTATACCGCTGTATTTTACACCTGATTGAGGATACCGCTGTATTTTACACCTGATCGAGTATACCGCTGTATTTTACACCTGATTGGGTATACCGCTGTATTTTACACCTGATTGAGGATACCGCTGTATTTTACACCTGATTGAGAATACCGCTGTAGTTTACACCTGATTGAGTATACCGCTGTATTTTACACCTGATTGAGTATACCGCTGTATTTTACACCTGATTGAGTATACCGCTGTATTTTACACCTGATTGGGTATACCGCTGTTTTTTACACCTAATTGAGTATACCGCTGTATTTTACACCTGATTGAGTATACCGATGTATTTTACACCTGATTGAGTATACCGCTGTTTTTTACACCTGATTGTGTATACCGATGTATTTTACACCTGATTGAGTATACCGTTGTTTTTTACACCTGATTGAGTATACCGCTGTATTTTACACCTGATTGGGTATACCGCTGTAATTTACACCTGACGTAGGTACATATCACAATGATGGGCGCATAAGCTGACAGGTCGCTGCTATGTTTATAAACATATTATTGTTGGCTACTTCAAACTCTTCCATGTAAACATGACCCCTCCGTGGCCACATTCATACAGCGTACAGCGGGTACTTAAAGTTTGCTATAACTCTCAGCATGTTTGTAAGATTCAAATTAATCTCTATCTTCAAAGCATGTACCGTGGCTCGACATAGAAAACCCCGCAATGATAACAACAGTCGAGGTTTATTTTAAAATAAAATTAAAACCTACCCAGTGCCAAGAAGATTTCCAGCAATAAAACAAATTAATAAATTATTCCCAAACTGACGTGAAATTCCTTTGATTAAATAGCATATTAATATTTACACACCCCTCATAGCTGTTTTAGCATAAGTATATAAAACAAAGACATAAGATATATTGTAAACTCGTCTATCAACTCAATGATGTGCTTCCGACACATAAACCTGTATCGAGTCTATCCAGCGGCCCTAAATTAAGTCTGATCAAATAAACTTAGAGATATTGGCTTACCGTACGTACACAATGGGGTCATACGGCTTATTGTTTGGCGTATTGAGGTCCTCGTTAAATCTCGTACTGTCCACTTGAAATTCTTATAGATATATATGAAAGATCGCCCCTTCTCATGTGTCAAATGAAAGTACAGCGATTCACCTTAACCAGGCCAAACCAACGAATCAAGCATCCCGAGTCTGACATGCACGGGTTGTCCGCTTTTTATTGTGTTATTAGTTCGGTTGAAGATGACCGAGAATCGGCATGACATTTAATGGTCAGTTTATGTGTGAAATGGTCATTACCGTCCGCCGCGCGTCACCTCACTGACCCCCAGGGGAAGAAGTAATGGTCTGGAAAGGGGACACAATGGTGTCCAAATCCCAATAATGGTCCATGTTATATTTTGTTTAGAGACACGGAATGTTGGCGCTCGAAATCAGGCTGATTAAGATTTACATATTGGAGACGCGATATTTATCAGTGATTTAAAAGGCTAAAAATAAACATTTGAGAAGCGCATCCATCAGATGCTTTTCGGCGCAGCGTAATTGTAGTTCCATTGGGAAAGAGTTATGCCATATTCCGCTTTGAATGTAAGGTTGTACCTTTTGTATAACCCGGAAATATCATTCGGCTCCTTCCAATGCAATAGGTCATAATCTCGGCAAACACTGGATTAAACCATTGTCACAACGTCGTTGTTACAGTTGATGCTGGGCCAGGAATTCACAAGCCATTCTGAACAAAAATTGAACAAGAACAACTGACGCAACTCAAGGTCATTATGCAAAATTATATACAAATTATACATCAACTATAACATGGAAATAACTCGAAACTATGGGAGCTCATTAATTCTACTTCCGGAATCAACCGAGTCTCATGATTTCTTCATTACGGGCAACTTGGCGACATGCATTGCCCGGATGTACACGAGGGAAGGTAAACAGGCGGCCATATGGTCCATGCTCTCTCCACTGCTCTCTCTCTCAGACGTATCAGAAGCCGTGGGTTCGAATCCCAGTTTCGCCTTCATTATGTGCTTGGTTTGTAATCCTACTCATGGGTTTAGCGGTAAACGTCTGAGATCTGAATCTATTCCAGTCACACGTCATGCCGTGATAAAACTAAATGCCGTTCAAAGCGGCGTAAAACAACTCACTCACTTACTCACAGCAGGCTGATATGGACAGCAAAGATGACTCTAAAACAACTGATTAAAACAAGAATTGGGCACTGTACATGCTGCAACTGCGGACGCATTTTATATATGTAGCAGCGATCTTTCGCAATGGGGCGGTTGGGTAGCCTAGTGGTTAAAGCGTTCGCTCGTCACGCTAAAAGCCCCGGTTCGATTCCCCACATGGGTACAATGTGTGAAGCCCATTCAAGTTCCCCGCCGTGATATTGCTGGAATATTGCTAAAAGCGAGGTAAAACCATATTCAGTCACTCTTTCGCAATGACTTACAACGGAGAAACTGGAGAAATCGGGATCTCTTTTTAGATCGAATTAGCTACGAAAAGACCTTCGTCAGGTTCTGACATGCTGAATCCTTCAACGTGGGTGTAATCCGCAATTTAATTAATTATCCGAGTTGTTTACGCACGATTCTGTTGTGACGACGCGTCTGGCAGATGACGTTGTTGACATGTCCTTGACATGGAAATTACTGACTATCACTAACATCTGTACATTGAGCATTATGTGGACTGATAATGTAATCAGACACAGATACGTGATGACTTTAGCACGCGTACCGTCACTGAACCAATTTAGAAAAAAATGTTATGGAAATATTTCTGAAATGACATCTAAAAACCTGAAGAATTTCGTCTCCTTAGGGTGGAAATGCGTTAGGAAAATATTATCTGAGATGTGGATAGTGCTTTCCCCACCGCTTGCTCTGTATGACAGAGTGACATTGTCGCCCCCAGCCGGTCTATTAACAACCCCCTCAGGTTTCTTTCTTCCAGGGACAAGAAGAAACAGCCGGATCGTGTTGATTTGTGAAAATTTGAGTCTCGTGCAATATTTATTATGACAACAAAAACGGTATACCCCCTCAGTCTCGCGACCCGCGGAATCTGGTCGTCTGCTTTGTAGACGAGAGGCTTGTAGGTTACAGATGTCGATAGCCAATCAGCTCCGATCTTGACACGCGACATTGTCCACATGGAAGCCATATTTTAGATACAGATCGCTCGGTTTTAACATTGTTCAAATTGGCTGTGAAACTGAGTTAGAGTAAATGATGATTAAGCAGAAAGGCAATACAGTATATTTTCAGTTAAAACAAATTAAACGTATTTCAAATAGGTTGGGAATGTTAATTTGTGAGTTTGACTTGAGGTGGGGCTAGTTCAGTTTACTCGTTGCCGAGACTGAAAGGTGGAATTAAGTATAAAATGATTTGTGTTTATTGTATTGTAACAAGAATAACTTGGTGAGGCGTGAATACCAATTTTTTAATGTCTTGGCAATACTTGTTTACCGCGAGTTTGTGTGGCGTTTTAAAGGTCGGGACAGTCCGATGTATACAAATAAAGACGCCTACCACACACATACACGTACGTGCCCGTACACACACGAGAGAGAGAGAGAGGGGGGGGGGGGGGGGGGGGGGGGGGGGAGGGAGAGAGGGAGAGAGAGGAAGAAGGAGAGAGAGGAGAGGGAGAAAGAGAGAGAGGGAGAAAAGAGAGAGTGGGAGAAGGAGAGAGAGAGAGAGTAGCTTGGTTAATTGTCTGGTCGATTGTTTACAAACTGCCGTCATATACATGTTGCTGAAATATTGCCGAGTGCGGCGTTAAACAACAAACAA